CGGAGGGAGGAAGAGAGGAGGTAGGAGGAGGAGGGAGGGAGGTAGGAGGAGGGAGGGAGGTAGGGAGGTAGGAAGGGAGGAGGAGGGAGGATGGAGGACGGGAGGACGGCCGGGAAATCTGCAAGGGAAATGAGCGACTGGATGGAGAGGCATGAAAGGACGAGCAGCCGAGATCTATGGCACCCGAATACAAAAAGAAAAGCAGATTTACGGACGGGACATCATCATGCATCCTCGGGTAAAGGGCATCAACCTTCTTCCGACGACGACTCTTTATTCCTTTTTTTTCCCTCATTTTCTCTTAAAATATTTTTTTTTCTAGTTATTTTCGGTTTTTGGTTTTATTTATATTTTTTATTTATTTGATTTTAAATTTATTTAATTTTTTTTCCCGTTCCGTTTTTTCGCTTTCGTTTTCCGGATTCTCCTTCGGAGAAACGACATCGCCGAAAGCTCCGTAATTCGAGGAGAAAAAAAAAAAAAAAGAAGGAAGAAAAAAGGAAAGGACGAGCATGCAGTTTCTCGTGTAATTCCCGCAGATTCCCGCATAAAAGGGACAGAGGGCCCCAATTAGACGTCCATAACCGCGGCCGGTAATGGCCGAGTCCGGCTGATGTAAACGCTCGTCAATGTCCGCCATTATTGCCGATGGGAAGACGCATTTTCATCTTCTCTCTTTCTCTCTCTCTCTCTCTTTCCACGAAAAATCGCTTCGGCCGCATTCTTTTTTTTTCTGGGCCGTTTTTGTCGACGCCGTTGACGGGTTTCGACGTCGAAGTCCGGTTCACTCGAGTGAATTTCACTCGTCCCACGCTCAGAACGTCAAAAACTCGACTGCTTCGAGCGTAAAAAAAAAATCAAGAAGCAACGAAACGCCACACCATCGCGTGACAGCACCGCGGACGGCACGACGGCACGACAGCACGACGGCATGACGGCACGACAGCACGACGGCACGACGGCATCGCGACAATCATGCGAGTCGATTCCCGAGATTTTCCACTTCGCATTCGAGCCTTCCCGCCCGTGTCAAAACGGATTCAAATATCGCGAAGTCGCACGAAAATCGCTTCGGTTTTGTTCGGTCGAGCTTCCAGGTCTGCCCCTGCGAAGAACGGCAGAGAAGCGGCTGCTCGGGCAGTCAGCGACATCAGACCTAGAGAGAACCAAACGTTATCTTTGCCATCCAACACGTAGATGTCGCCCGTGCAACGGAAGCAGCAGCATCTACCAGACGAACCGAATAGTGGGTGCTTCATCGTACGACGGGAAGATGTCGCTGCTGCCCGCGACCAACTCCTTACGGATTTGACCGGAGGATGAAGCCCGGCTAAATTCGTTCAGGTCATTCGCAGTTCGGTTTCGGTTCTGGCTTTGGTCTGACTCGAGTTCCAGTCTGCTCTCGTCGCCTTATGTCGCAAAGGGAACTGGACACGAACTGCGACTGGTTTTCAAATCGACCGACGCTGCGATGCGATTTACTCGCACGAACAGGGGCGGATCGGCTATCTGGCAGCTCTGGTCCTCATGTATCCTATTAGTCTTTTGAAACCAAATTTACAAGTGAACATGAAGTATGTTGGGAATAGGCCCAACTGTGAAACAATAACATTATCATTCGTTTCGAGTAGGCCTACCGACACTTCCAGCGAAATCTCCCCATTAATAGGGCTATTCCCAATCGGGTTGGCGATGTACCCCTGGCCTGGGGCTCTTGCTAATTCTAAGTAGTATAATTCATTCCCTGCTTTAGAAAAAAGTATCTATTTCTACTTAACAATAGAACTGATGGATGACGTCGGCGAAGAGAGGTAACAGAGGAAGATTAAACAAGGGGCTACAGGTAGGACCCCATCAGACAGGGCAAAGGAGATGGAATTGCAGGTCAGGGTTGTCAAGCTCAGATGACCCCTTTTTATATATTTTTGGGATCCGCATGTCAACCTTCCCTGTCAACCATGTTTCCATGCATTCCTGCTTGCTTGAAATATCTCACTATCATTCCTCTTTCCGTTTCCCCTTAATCGTTGCATTGCAATGATAACGCATAACGAAATTTCAACTTCTGCATATGACAACCCTGTCTCCCCCCTCCTGCCATCTACACTATGCGCAACGACTTGCAGATGTCTGTAAGTTATGACCGGAATCGGTCCAGTGAAACTCCTTCCAGGTGTCTCAACCGATTTTCATCATCGATAGCTCTTTCGATTCGTATTTTTTTTTGTAGATATGCAAAATTCTTTTTTTTAGTTGACCTTAGGCGTGACCCAGTCGACCTTTCATATTAATTTTGAACTCAAATTCCTGCACAATGCTAAATTCGAAGGCACTCGATTCCCCCTGTTTTTAGTTTTTAGTTTTTAGTTTTGAGTTTCTCTTAACGCTGGGGATAATTGTTGACCCGATTTGACCCTCCTGCGGTCAGAGTTGAGAGTGCACTGGCGCCATCTCTGTACAGAGTAGATAATTACTGAGTGTCAGAGCCAGCTTTTCAACTCTGGACTCGAGATCGAAGCTCGGATTTCTTCTCGGTTGCACTGAGAAGCGTTCGTCATTCTCGTCACCCGTGATTCTCTCGTCACCTGTGATTCTCTCGTCACCTGTGATTTTTTTTTCATTTAAAGCGACTTTCGTCTTGGCCCCAACGAGATCTAAATTTTGGCTTCCTCGGGACTCCCGCCCAGTCTCGGCCAATGGACCATACAAAGGGCATGAGCAGGGCATGAGCAGGGCATGAGCAGGGCCTGGGGGAGAGTTCCCAGGTGACCGTGATTCTTTTTTTTTTATCGGGAAACATTTTCTCGAGCAATCGCCATTCAGCGATCAAAGTCGGTAACAGTCTACACACCTGTGGACATGGGTTTTCGATGAGTAAACTATAATGTACTCAAACATCAGAGGTCGGATTACGAGAATTTCATGAAAATTTCCCCCTTTTGACTTTTCATCCTGGAGCCGTTACTACGTTTTCTGGGAGGGAACCAGCAAGAAATCTTTTCAATAGCGTCGCCACCCCCGCAGTGCGATTCCACAGCTCCTTGCAGTTGAGAGTTGACGAACCCCCCCCCCAATTACACCATCAATTATTTAAGTCTAATTATTGCCTAATAGTTCGTTTTGGTTATCAGTTTAGACTTATAAACCAGAGCCTCAATGAGGGCCGGTGTGAATAAAAATGCCACGGCTGATTTTTAGTCCCAGTCTGCCCCTGCGCACGAAAGTCGTTCGAGGCATCTGCATCCACCTCCGGGGAAACCTCCGGCAACCTCCGGCGAAAGCCGGAGGCTGGTGGAGGTGGATGACTCGGCCTCCGTCGCCTCCGGTCGAGGTCGCGAGAGCGCCCGTGGAGGTCACGTCCCCGATCGCGCGCGGACGAGGGAGGACCAGCCCGCGCGAGGGGGAGGGCCAGCCCTCCAGCCTCGACCGCCTTCCCGTGAAGATGGGAGCCGCTCCGACGACTCAATCTCGTCAGCCCCGAGAAGGTCAAAGCGGCCCGAAATCTCCAAATCGGAAACGCGAGAGAAAAGAAGAAATAGAGAAATCACCGATAAGATTCCAGGAAGGAAATCGAAAGCGACATCAACGACGCCACTCAATCACCCCACGCAAACCGTCACCGAAAACCACATCGTCGACACGAGAGACTCCCCCTCCACCCTCCCTCCTCCCTCCACCCTCCTCCCTCCTCCCTCCTCCCTCCTCGCCTGGCCCGGCAGAGAAAGTTTTCCCTTGCGATTGCCTCAGGCGATCTTCGCTCCCCTTTCTCAACCAGTGTTGTCGAGTCGTAAGAAGTGTCGTCGAATCCCTTTTCTTGGCTCCCCTCCGACGCCTCTCACATTTTCCAAAATAAAATCATTATAATAACGCAGCTGATGGCTGATCGATTAAATTCTTTAATCGCAATTCAATTATTTTCCCTTCATGGGCGACGAAGCATTTTTTCTTCCCTTCGAATCACGCACGTATTGCGACACGATCTCTCACGCCGTCGACGAGAGAAACGCATATCGGCTGTTACAACGGCGTATGCAGGATCTTATGAGGGGGGGTTGCGACGAGGGCAGGTTGATGGCCGAGGGGGGTTTGCTCCGCAACTTTTTTTTAGTCTTTATCTGTTAACTTCATTAGCGACCCATCATTTTACTGCACGGAGTCACGCGAATAACGAGAGTCTTTCTCAGAATTTAAATTCTCACTTTTGCTGCCAATTTTCTTGCAGAAGAGCAAATTTAGAGTCCCCTCTGCCAACTTGCCCCAACTCCCCCTCCCCTTACCCCCTTGCCCCCACTCCCCCTCCCCTTGCCCCCTGGCCCCCTTGCCCCCTGGCCCCTTGCCCCTCAGCACACGTCACTGGGTCATTGGATTTCGTTTGGCATGCGGGGATTGTCCGGGCGGCTGACAAGCAGAGACCCTTTCGCCTTGCCCTCGTCAACTAGCATGAGGGCACGAGGAAAGCACAAGGAGGGCATGAGGAAGGGGCTCTTCTTCGTCCCCGAAAATAAATATTAATTGACAATAGCTCCCGCTACCCAATTTTTCCTCGCACGGTCGATGTTCGCGAATTCGTGCGAAACGGAAACGGGTTCATTTTTCCATCCGAGTAATTGAGCCGTAATTGAGCCGTAATTGAATTACCGATCCGATAATTGACAATGCAAATCCGTCTCCACTCATATGTGTGTTAATTGGGAGATCGGAATGGGCAGCACTCCAATTCCATTTTCTTCTTGGAATCGGGAATCGATCGTGAAAGTTTTCTCGTTTCCTTCAATTGCGAAAATTGGCCACAATTGGCCGGAGCGACACGGAGCGACTGTTGTCTCCTTTACCACGACAGTCGCCGATGTCTGGAATCTGCAGAGAGGCGAAATAATAATAAAAAAGTGCAAAGACATCCATACAACTGTATTGCCAAAAAATACTGCAAAAATATCACAGACTCAAAAAAAAAAAAAGGGAAAGAGAGCACCGACAGAGAGCATCGCAGGAAAAGATTATCACAGCCGGCGTAAGCACCACAGGACCGACAGGACCAGGGCGACGCGTGGATCCGCCACGCGCCGCCCCGCGCTGCTCCACGGCGGCACCGCCTCCGCCACCGTCAGCGTACCGAGCACCGCGTCGCTCAGCACCTGCGGACCGCGCAGTTCGATCGCGCTCGCGATCTTCCTCGCTTCCTCCTTGCACGCCGACGCCTGCACCCGCGACGCCCTCGCCCTCCCCGGCGACACCACCGCCACCACCTCCCCCCTCGTCCACACGTACGCCGTCACCTCGCACTGCGCCACCTGCACCAGCGACGACAACCTCCTCGCGACCTCCCTCGCCGTGAACGGATTCCCCTCCGGCGCCTCCCCTCGCGACACCGCGATCCTCAACGCCGCCCCGCACACCGGGCCGCACCCCCCCCGCGGCACCACCGCCTCGCAGTCCCCCCCCCCCCCCC